ACATTTCTAAACATAATAGTTTTAATAACTCATTTCTAATAACTGATATTTTTTGTTTGAGCCATGATGACAGTAAATAATAATTTACTTGATATTTTTCAAGACACTTCTATTCAGCTTAAAGTGATATTTAAAGGCTCAACTAGGTTAATAAGGTTAACTAGGCAGGTTAGGGTATAAGGGAAGTTGTTGTTTAAAGATGGTTTGTTTTGTAGACTATCGAAAAAAAAAAGAAGAAAAAAAAAATATATATATATATATATATTGACCTTAAGATGGTGTTTAAAAAAATAAAAAACTGTTTCATTCTAGCCAAAATAAAACAATGAAAACTATCTCCAGAAGAAAAATATTATCTGACATGCTGTGAAAAATTTTGTTCTCTGTTAAACATTATTTGGGATATATATATATAAAAAAAAGCATACTGTATACTATATTACCCTTTTTGTCACAGTGTATCAGCCAAACAAATTTCAAAAACTTAACTGTAAAATAAATGTGTGTATATATATATATATATACATATATATATATATATATTAATGTATTAGATATACAAACGCTGAGCAAGTTAAAATAATATTAATAATTTATGTTTAACAGAGAGCAGATTCTTTTCAGCACATATATATATATATATATATATATATATATATATATATATATATATATATATATATAGTATGTTTTTCCAACTCAGGCTCTTTATTGATATGTACCCCTGTATACATTTCAGGCTGCTGTGTTTGCTTTTTGAGATCTCAAATTTGCCCTTTTGCCATTCATGCCTACTTTTTTCACGTAAATCCACCAGAGGCCGCAGTTGACTGACTTACTGACTGACCAATACCTCCACCCACCACCTTCCCTAAACCCAACCAGCAGTGTTTACTTAAATTTTACCATCTTTTCAGATCTTACCACGCTCTCACCCTGTTACTTATGTTTTACCTGCTTTCTGGAACCGAATCCTGTCATTATGGTCAACTCCTCTTTGCGTCTCAGATCCACCAACCTAGGCGGCAAGCCACTTGGCAAATTGGTAACAGCGGAAAAGCCGTCCACACGGAGGTAAGCAGTCAGCTGGTAGCATGGATAGAAACAGAAGCTGTCGGTGGTGTCATACCACCCCATAGCATTCGTTTTAAAGACAAAATGCAGCCATACATACCCCTGACTACATAACTCACGCTCTCCAAAAATGTATACGGGGATACGCATTCACAATGAGCCTGTGTTGTTTTATTTCCTTATTTCTTAAGATCACCTGATATTACCAGGACACTTTTTTAATTTTAAATCCCATTCAGTGGCATGAACACAGTGTGTTAGCTTTATAAACACCCCTCAAACCTCCGCTCTAGTCTAAAGCACACTTGAAGTGTTAAACATGCAAAAGTGCGGAAGCAAAGGTCAAATCTCCACAATCAGCTCGTCACACAGGACCTGCGCTGCTAAGAAATTCCATTCACTTCCTCTCATTATAGCCTCTGCGCTCTGAAAGACAGAAAAGCCTCTACAGGAGTGAACTTTTCATCTCTCAAGGACTAATCTTTGACAGGCATATGAGCGCATCTGCAATATAATTCATCACAGCCCTACCCGAACTAAAGAGTCAAGACGTGTGATCGGGGAAGAGCACAGGTGTAACACCGGAATAAAACGCAATGCTATACGATACAGCTGCATCTGAATCCCTGCGACGTTTTCAATTTAGCTGCTTCGCTGTGGGTAAATTTAAGTCGAGGGAATATTTTAAAGAGGTCATTTTTAATGCGTTTTGATCGACTGAATCACTGGGTGCACAGATTTCACACTTGGACACTTAAATGGATCTAATCTAATATATTCTTGCACTACTGCTGTGTTTGAAAGTAGATCTGTATGCTGAGGTTTCTTTGCTACTACACTGTAAAAAATATAATGACAAAAAGTCAAGACAACAAATATGTTTATGTTGCTTTGACTTGTTTTAATAAGTTAAGCAGCCTTTTGCAAAAATGTTTAAGCTATGAAAAGTTTAACATTTTTTTTTTTACTTTTAAAAATTTGTTTAATTAATCTACAAAAAAAAAAAAAAAGGCAGCATCCTTTTTTAGGTTTCAGTCAACATTTGAAGTGGTACACACATACTTGTCGTTGGGCAATTTTGGGGAAAAAAATGGATCCAATTCCTTGTTGATTACTGTGTACATGCCTGTGGTTATTGACCTTAAGTGTATTTACACTTGGCCTTTTCTATTAAATCAGTAAAAATGCCCTACAGAAAATTAGTTGCTACACTGTAAAAAATCCTGCAGGTTGCCTTAAATGTTTAAGCTGATTCAAATTAACCTTATGAGTCTACTGAACATATATTATGTTAAACTGACTTAATAATCACTTAATAACTTATAAAAATAAGTAAGAATATGATTAACTAAGTAATAACGACCTAAAAACGTATGCTGTCTTGACTAATTGTTCACATACATTTTAACAGTGTATGTCTAAAGTCATTTTAAGAAACTCCATATTTCATGATGGTTGTAAATTTGATTAATACTTAAAAAGTATTACAAAGTGGATTTAACTTCTCAATGTCTAATTGAATCTGAATGTAAAATAAATTAATGCAAAAAGACATAATTCCTTCATGTTGTGTAAATTTGACTAATTTTACCCAAAAATACACATGTAGTTAAAACAGCTTTAAAATTTTATTTTAAAATTGAATCTAAATAACATTTAAATGAACATATTTATTTCTAAATAAAACAGTTCATTGTGTGTTATTTTCACAGATTTCTAGTAATATTAGTACACTAAAAACAATATTTTTGCTTTCTTAAGTTTTTCGGGGGACAACTTAATTGTTTTAAGGTAAATCCAATTTAATTTGTAAAAACAATAAAGCTAGCTTAATCGATTTGTGTTGTGACAACACGAAGGAATTGTGTGGAACACAACAATAATATTTTTAATGTGTAAAAAAAAAGATTTAGTCTTTGAGTTAGTTGGCTGAATGATTCAAACTGTATCACAGATTTTATGAATGTTAGTAGTAATATTAATATTTTTAATCTGTATATATATATAAGATTTTGTCTGTGAATGAGCTGAATGATTCAAACTATTTAACGAATTAATTAAAAACCTCAATTCCTCTCCCAATCAGACATCACTTAATATGCATGTTAAAAATGTGTATTTCCAGTTTCAAAATAACGTGTTTAGTACAATTTAGTAACATTTAATTCATGGTAACACCAAAAGGTGGGGCTATGACTTGTTTACAGTTAATTTAATTACATTAATTACTCTGTTTTAAAGCAAAATTTGAATTGATGATCTGAAATCACATTTGCATTAAATACAGTTTCAATTCAAATACAGGATAAACTTTGTCATCTATCTTTGATAATGCTAATGCGAATCAGACATGTTTGTTTTTTGTTTACTTTCATCATAACCTGCTAACAGCATGCAGGCAATCAAAATAAACAGTAAAAATCTGACCTAAGTCATCTAGAATGCCTAATTAATAGAAAAAAATAGAGAGACCATTTTGAGGGATGTAAACAATAACAATGGTCTTAACGCATTTCCTGTATTGCATTTTTTAAACTTACATAGCTTTCAAGAATACAAAAAGGTCCACATATTGATATGTGTTTTAATGTTAAGACATTATTAAATTGTCTCTTTTTACAGTTACAAAATTGTTTGACAATGTGCCATGTCATAAAGAGCGAATCACCTCAGACTGATTTCTTGAACATGACAATGAGTTCACTGTACTCAAATGGCCTCCACAGTCACCAGAGCTCAATCCAATAGAGCACCTTTGGGATGTGGTTGAATGGAAGATTCGCATCATCAATGTGCAGCCGACAAATCTGCAGCGACTGCGTGATGCTGTCATGTCAATATGGACCAAAATCTCTGAAGAATATTTCCAGTACCTTGTTGAATCTATGCCACAAAGGATTACACCAGTTCTGAAGTCAAAATGGGGTTTAATTTAGTACTACTAAGGTGTACCTAATAATGTGGCCAGTGAGTGTGCTGTATATAAACATTCTTAAATCAGGTTACATCTACTAGAGAAGTAAAATAACTGTCACAATACACACACACACACACACACACACACACACACACACACACACACACACACACACACACACACACACTACAACCTGTTTGCTATATTATGGTTATTGAAAAAAAGTGTATAATGTTCAAAAAATGCTCATACAAGCTCATTGCAAATCCAGCCCTTGTCAACTAACTTTAGAACTTTATTTTCATCCTGTTCTTTTTAAAGTCACTTTGTAAATGCATTTAATATTGCATGTGTATGTGATTTTTTTCCCACAGTCTGCTATAAAAAAAAAAAAAGTAAAAATATGCATTTATGATGCAAAAACCCACAACAGAGAGAAAACAGTCTGGTACACTTCTTTATAGAAACCCTTCACTTTAAATGCATGCATTATTAATCATTCCAAAACATCCTGCAAAACAGGTCAGATGTGTTTTGACAAAGTGTGCAGTATAAATGATCAGGTACCAGAATAGAGTTTTTACTGTCTTCATTACACATTCTTAAGCAGCCTTCAATGCACGCTTGAGCTGATTAAACCGCGCTATGATTGAAAATGAGCTGAAATTTAAAGTCATTTCGGCTTCATTTCATAAGCACAAATCAAACCGCCTCTCTTCCCACACACAAACACACACAGACGGTGACAAGCCCGCTCCGTAAAATCTCAGCTGACAATCCTCCAATATTGTTACATCAAGTTAAATAAGACGATTTAAGCAACAAAGAGAAAATCCGTTTAAAAAAGAAACTAGAAGTAGAATCGGGGATAGTCTGGGGAGTAAACAGAAAAGCAGAAAGCGTTTTGTGAAAATAAAAAATAAAGCCTCTGATGAATGTTAGCCAAACAGCGAGACGAGATCATGAAGGTAGGAAAATGGGCGCTGGGATCATAAATTCTCCCTCCTACCTGAAATGCGGCGGGGTGTCAGAAGAAGAGTGTGGATATTCCTGGAGGCTGCCGATGGCCTACATATGCTCAACGCCGCTTGATTCGTCCTCAGCAGTGGCTTTTCCTGATGCTGGAAAATTCCCATTTCCTCAGGACTTATCCAGGTGGTCTCCAGAGCTAAAGTGTTGTTTAGATAAAACTGCAGATGAGAAGAAAAAAATATCATGTGCATGTAGAAATCACTCAAAGCAATCACAAGAGACGCATTTAAAAGCATGTTAATACTAGGCGGAAACAGTAATCCATCTTGACTTGTGATTGGTTGATTGAAAAGGCATGTCAATAACAGGTGTAAATGGTAATGCATTTTGACTTGTGATTGGTTGATTGAAAATGGGTGTAAATAACAAGTAGAAACAGTAATGCATCCTGACTTGTTATTGGTTGATTGAAAAATGCATGTCAATATAAGGTGGAAATGGTAATGCATCTTGACTTGTGATTGGTTGATTAAAAATGGGTGTTAATGACAAGTAGAAAGAGTAATGCATCTTGACTTGTGATTGGTTGATTAAAAAATGCATGTCAATAACAGGTGGAAATGGTAATGCATCTTGACTTGTGATTGGTTGATTAAAAATGGGTGTTAATAACAAGTAGAAACAGTATTGCATCTTGACTTGTGATTGGTTGATTGAATAATGCATGTCAATAACAGGTGGAAATGGTAGAGTTGGAGTCCGCTCAACATTAGTCTCCCATATAGGAAACTACGCTGGTAATCGGCAAAAACTACAGAAAGTGATCGCCAGCAGAGACAACTCCACTGGCAATCACAACAGTATCTTGACTTGTGATTAATTCCTTGAAAATGCATGGTTATAATCATTGCTTGACATTAACTTTTTTGATCACCAGCCTTGTGGCTAGTAGATTTCCAACATTACTAGCCACTCTGCTTTTTCACTAGTCACTCTTTTGTTGTTTGGAAAATATATTTTATATGAAGAAATGTGACTTTGAAAAGCTAAAATGACTTGATTTAGATGTTATGTCCACATGCCTCCTCATTCATTTCACTTTTTGTGTGTGCTGTGCATGAGCTTACTCTCTGTGCTTGAGCAAATGGGTTGTCGCATTGCAAATAGTTTTTTTTTTTTTCACATGGCTTTTTTAGGGCTCAAAATTAAGGATTTACCAAATGTATTTCTGCCCACACCAAAAAGAAATAATTATTTCTTAGCCACACATTTTAAATATGTCAAAACCAGCAAAATATAGCTGCATACATGCACTTTTTAGTCAAATAAACTTGACATTTAAAAATAATTATTGACATGTCCTGGCTAAAGGTTCCAGATCAGCAGTTACGACACATAAATGGGGAGTTAATCTCATATTAACCAATTAAACTCTGCTGTTTCCGCCTGGATTTTGCCTACCCAAGTTTAAAAGCTTCCTAAATCCACATGTAGAGGTGTAAATGCAAAACTTTGGTATCATTTAAAGAAAACCCTTTGAATTTTCATAAACTATTATTGAAAGTGTTTAAAATAACTGTATATGTTGTCTGTGTTATAATAAACACCTAATAAAAGAGGCGCTTTTTGTATTTGTTTTTTTATAAACTCAAATTTGAAAGTGTACCTTTTAGGTTCTGTGTGTCTAGGTTGCTGTAATTAATTTTGGTGGTTCCTGCAAATGTCTGTAATCATAGGAACAAAGAAAAATGTCTCTACCATAATCTATGCAAAAGTTATTGTATTCCAACTGATGAGAGGTGCTGTACAAGCCACAGGGACCGATCATTGTTTACATATTTCACTGTGCTTTTGTTTGATCAAACATAATTCACTGTGTTTGGACCACGTCAGACATATAAAAGGATTACTTATGCACATCACCTCAAAAACAGAGGAGAAATGGCCCTGAAGCTCACAGCATAAAGTGAGAGATGACAGCTGTCTGTTCTATCTGGGGCAGCTTATTGATCATAAATGTATTGTTTTCACTTCTGCGCCGTGGAAACACCGCGATTCATTCGGCAACTGCTTGATATGTGAATATAATTCAGTAAAAAGAATTCTAGAATCGTATGAGCACCGGCAAGAGCTTTCACTCTGCGGATCCGGTACCTGGTCTGTGACGTCATCAACTTTCTTCTTGACTTTCATCTTGACTTGTGATTGGTTTGTTGAAAATGCATGTTAATAACAGGTGAAAATCATGAACAAACATTTATACTGAATGCAAATGCAAGCATTTTATGTAGGTGTTATTATCTTTGAAAACAATGTAAATGCTGCAGCTTCCCTCTGAGGTTGAGGTTTATTGATTTACCTACTGACTTCAAGCACTTTTTCAATCATTATTTTCAACGAAGAGGGAATATTCCTCCACAACTGTTGTTCTTGCATGCCCAGAAGCAGATATAGAGGTTAAATATGTTAAATATGTACTACAGAACTGCATTTACAGTATATGAAGGAACAATAAGTTCTAATAAAGATTTGCAAACATTAGCTCTCAGGTTCTTTGTGAATTTGTTTTGCTTATATTTATTTAATGCATATGCATGTCAGAAATGTACATTGTAAGAATGCAAAAAATCTGCATATAAATAATCATATGAATATATAGTATAATGTCCTATATATAGTATAAAAACTTATTCCTGGGTTGAAAAAAGCAGATCATGATAATAATGTGAAAATATATACTGTAGAGTTGAAGTCAGAATAATTTGCCATACTGTTAAATTTTAGGTTTGTATTGTAGCCTGTCAAAAAAAAAAAAAAAAAAAAACTATTGCATATGGGGGCTAATAATATGGACCTTAAAATTGTTTAAAATAATTTCAAAACTACTTTTATTCCAGCCAAAATAATACCAGACTTTCTCTAGAAGAATAAATATTATAGGAAATATTGTGAAAAATTCCTTGCTCTGTTACACATCACTTGAAAAATATTTAAAAAAAAAGATTAAATATTTTACAGGATGGCTAATTTAGCCCTAAAGAGAGTGTGTGTGTGTGTGTGTGTGTGTGTGTGTGTGTGTGTGTGTGTGTGTGTGTGTGTGTGTGTGTGTGTGTGTGTGTGTGTGTGCACGCAATAGTTTTAATAACTAATTTCTAATAACTGATTTATTTCATCTTTGCCATGATGACAGTAAATAATATTTGACTAGATGTTTTTCAAGACACTTCTATACAGCTTAAAGTTACATTTAAAGGCTTAACTAGCTTAATTAGGGTTAACTAGACAGGTTATTAGGCAAGTTATTGTATAATGATGGTTTGTTTTGTAGATTATCGAAAAAATATATAGCTTAAAGAGGCTGTATATGTATATATATATATATATATATATATATATATATATATATATATATATATATATATATATATATATATAGAGAGAGAGAGAGAGAGAGAGAGAGAGAGAGTTAAAAATTAGATTTATTATTATTATTATTATTACTATTATTATTACCTTTTCAGCATTTATAACTTAAATATATATCAACATATTTAAAATTTTATTTACAGTAAAAGAGTCAAATATTTTTGTGTAGAATCATTATATGATGTGTTATGATATATGATGATATATGAATATATATTGTTCAAATTTATATAATATATAAAATATATATATATTGTTGTATCAAATTTGATTAATTTAATTATATTTTGATCAAATAGCTTGTATATTAAATATAATGAACACAGTAAAATTTATAAAACTGTCACCTATTTTTAGATGTTACAATGTTTTTTTCTATTTAAATATATCGAAATGTTAGCTTTCAGGTTAAGCTTAACAAACTTCTTTCAAAACTCTTTGAAATATTGGTTACTGTAAAAGTTTGATGCATAAATAAAGTAAATTTATGGTAACAAACCAGTATTATGCAAATTTAAATATACAGTTTTCTATGCTTTAATAAAATTATGCTATTTTATTTACTAAATTATTATAATTTTTTACTAAATGATGCAAAAAAGTATTATAATTTTTAAGATAAAATACAGATTTATGAGTTGTGAGTTTCTTTTTTTATATGACACATTCATAACACAGATTTCCTCCCTAAAGCCAAGTATAAATGAAAGTCTTTATTCACCTTGTAGTCAGGCACACGTCGCTTTTCCACCCAGCCTTTGCTGTAGTGCGGTGGCAGGATTGTCCGATACACATGAGGAAACACCGGAAGCAGATCCACACTAGCAGAAGGCTGGAAACCCAACACATGAGGCCTGGACGGCATCTCCCACTGGGAAACATGCAGAAGAGAAGAACAAATCACCACTGACATCTATTCAGACCCAGCTTACTAAGAAGAAATGAATCACAAAAGAGCAGGGTGGGATGAATGCTGTCCAGAGAGTCGACAGAAGTCTTTTTTTGGAATAATACATACAATTCATCACCAATTTCACCAACTGCACAGTGGTAGCACACAAGACATTTTATTTCCTCCTTATAACATTGATTGTAGCAGACTTTTTTATAACAGTGAAGATTTAATCACTACAGTTTTGAACAATGAACTAAATTAGACCTATATCAATGGCATCTTTATATTTAAGTCAATAACTTGACCGCTACACCGTTTGTTATTGGTTTTCTGCTATAGAGTGATTTGGAAACAGACATCTGTTTGTTAGTCTATGCACTTGATCTGTAAATGTGTAGTTAATTAATTTAAAATGTTGTGTAGACTTAGAGTGATAGAGTTCTTTGTTAAACATTCATTTATACATTTCCTTCGGCTTACTCGCTTATTTATTATCTGTCACCACAGCGGAATGAACTGCCAACTATTCTGACATTTTTTTTTTTTAAGCAGCGGATGCCCTACCAGCCACAACCCGTTACTGGCAAACATCCATACACACTCATTCACACGCACTCTCCAACACTACGGCCAATTTAGTTCATCCTGTTCACCTATAGCACATGTCTTTGGACTTCAGGGGAAGCCGGAGCACCCAGAGGAAACCCACGCAAACTCAGGGAAAAAAGTGCAAACTCCACAAAGAAATGCCAACTAACCCACTCAAACCAGTGACAATCTTGCTGTGAGTGCCTCCCACTGAGCCATTGTACCTTGCGACTATCACAATATAATAATATTGTTGACATGAATGGTGTGCATTTCATACACTGTGTTTTTCTTAATCTTTGCAATCCAATCTGGCAACCATATGTGCACAAACTTTCTCTCTCTACACTCTCTACACTCCACACCAACAAACATAGTGCTGGTGTTTATTAATATTAGCCTGAGATCAAACAATTTTAGCATTACAAATTATATCTGTTACTTAAGTAAAAAAAATAGTGTTTCCCTTCGATCAAATATTGCTGAAAAACTCCACAATGAAATGGCAAACCCTACACAATCACAGAGTTTGTGATAAAGATGGGGTGGTTTCTATATGCAAAATACGGTAGATTTGAGGACTGAAATTAAATTAACTTTTAGAAATGATCTGTTTTACACTCAAAAACGTGATGTTTGCTGTTTGATCAAACCACTTATTCATAATGTGCTGAATCAATACAATTACTGACAATTTTGGAAGACTTTGTTTTATGTTAAATCCGCTTAAAACATATCAGCTATATCTGTGTATACAGAATTTTAGGAGACTGTTAACAATTCCCTATAGAATATACATTAACTTACTGTAAACAGCATGTAAGAATGTATAAAAATAACAGCAAATATGCTGCATTTACATTTACAGCAACATTTCATTTACATATTTTTCTGTATATTTTTACTGTAAAATTGCCAGTAATTTTCACAATGCAAATTTAAAGTACAGTAATATAATGCATAAATATCCTACAGTAAAAAACAGGCCATATTACATTTAAATACTGAGTAATTTATTACAATTGTTTACAGTGTGCTAATGGAATGGTCAAATATGGCTTTTATACACTGTTAACAATGTCCTTTACAATTAACAGTAACTTACTGCAGTTTGCCAGTAACTTACTGTAAATCAATTACACACAAAAAACTGTATTTACATTTACAGCACTGTTCATATTGCAATATATGTATTTACATTGTTTTATGTATATCTTTACTGTAAAATATACCGTTATTTCCCCCATGCAACTATTAAATGCAGTAACATTACTGTATATCTCTCCTACAGTAAAATACAGTTCATATTACGGTTAAATACTGAGTAATTTATTACAATCATTTACAGTGTACTAACGGAATGGTCAAATATGGCTTTTAGTAACTGTTAACAATGTCCTGTAGAATCTACAGTAACTTACTGGCAGCAGTTTGCCAGTTACTTACTGTAAATCAATTACAGCCCAAAATACTGTATTTACATTTACAGCACAGTTTATATACAGAATTGTATGTATTGACCTTATTCTTCGCCGACGAGTGGGCGCTGCCATTTGAATCTTTTTGGCTCGAGACTTCCGGTCTCATTCACTTCCATTCATTTTTAGACATTAAAAAATAGCTCGTTTCGCTGTTTGATGTTGCAAACTGATATTTCCTTGTTATATTATTCTACTTGGTCTGTAGTCATGCAAACATTTGTTTGTAGAGCAAGTAGTTTGACCGTTTTTTGCCGTTTATTATTTCTTGTCATTTCTCCCATAGGCGACTGAAACGGAAGTTCTAAGACAATCGCGAAAACAGGCGCACTTCCGCATTTTAGAATAAGGTCAATATCTTTAATGTAAAATATTCAGTTATTGTCCCAATGCAACTTTAAAATACAGTAACATACTGAATAAATGTCCTACAGTAAAATACAGATCATATTACAGTTAAATAGTGAGTAATTTATTATAAGTGTTTACTGTGTACTAATGGAATGGTAAAATTTGGCTTTTATACACTGTAAACAATGTCCTTTAGAATCTACAGTAACTTACTGGCAGCAGTTTGCCAGTACCTTACTGTTAATCAATTACTGCAAAACTATTGTGTTTACATTTACAGCACTTTTTATATTGCTGTATATGTCTAGACAGAATTTTGTGTATATCTTTAATGTAAAATATACAGTTATTGTCCCAATGCAACTTTAAAATACAGTAACAATACTGTATATCTGTCCTACAGTAAAATACAGTTTACATTACAGTTAAATGATAAGTAATTTATTATAAGTGTTTACTGTGTACTAATGGAATGGTCAAATATGGCTTTTAAACACTATAAACAATGTTCTTTAGAATCTACAGTAACTTACTGGAAGCAGTCTGCTAGTAACTGACTGTAAATCAATTACTTCAAAAATACTGTATTTACAGTTACAGCACCGTTTATATTGCTGTATATGTATAAACAGTTTTATTTATATATGTACTTTAAAGTATACAGTAATTGCCCCAATGAAACTTTGAAATGCTGTAAAATTACTGTATATCTGTCCTACAGTAAAATACAGTTTACATTACAGTTAAATGATAAGTAATTTATTATAAGTGTTTACTATGTACTAATGGAATGGTCAAATATGGCTTTTATACACTGTAAACAATGTCCTTTAGAATCTACAGTAACTTACTGGAAGCAGTTTGTCAGTAACTTACTGTAAATCAATTACCGCAAAAATACAGTATTTTTTTACAGTATATTACATTTACAGCACCGTTTATATTGCTGTATATGTATGTACAGAGTTTTATGTATATCTTTACTGTAATGAAATGAAAAACCTTAAATACAGTAACATACTGCATAATTGTCCCACAGTAAGATACAGTTACTTTGTAATACAATACTTTGTAATTTACAAAAATCATTAACAGTTTAGGGTAACCCAAACATCCACCCCAAAACCTAGCTTTACATTTGACTGCCCTCATCTTCAAGAACAACAAGCAATTACAGTAAATACACAGCCATTTACAGTAGTCATTTAATGTCAGTGCATACAGTAGTAGTTTAGTGACCAGAAAAGGAATTGTGGACCTCATTACAGGCTGACTTGAAAGCTGGGAAAGTTCTGTGCAGATTATGCTGTAGCTGTTTGTTCTGCGTTCAGCATAACATCGCGTTCCATCATTTTGAGCTCTGCGTCAATGCCTCTCTGCAGCAGCAGTCAATCAAAGGCTTCTGAAGGCTGTCTGCAACTCTTAGTCTCTGTTTAAATAAAATACTCTTTCCTCCCACTGTCTCTGTCTAGTTCCAGTACAGTGCTACTGAGTTCATGCTCGCCGCCTCCTCTGAGCGCCACTTTAATGATGCGAAAGCTCAAAGTTCCCGGCGCTGGGGATGTGGAGCAGTGGTGATCATGCCACACAGATTAAATGTCACGCTGAGTTTCAGTCGTGAGGGGGGACGCGCCTGTGGATGTGAGGGTCATCATAAGACCAGCGCTCCTAGTGGTGGTACTTGGCAACTAAAGGGAGGTGATGTGCAGAATTTAGATTTTCTGCTTCAACAGTTTTTTTTGCCTCACAAAAGTGTTCCTGGAGCTTTGTTTGATCTCATTCAGGGCTGCACAACACAATGTTTCAGCATCAATGTGTGAATCTGCAATAGTCACACCTGCAATATTGAGTAGGGATTATAGTTGACCAGGAACCATGGGATCAAAGCAGAGTACAGCCATAAAGGAGTATTTAGTTTAGCGTTTGCATGTGTTTTTAAGGCCTGTGACTGTGTGAGTTTAAAGCATTTGGGCACTATATATTGTGCCATTTGTAATGTTAAAGGGCACATAGTTTACCCCCTTTTTAAGATTTAATATTAATGTTTCACAGAAACAGACCAAGCAGAGAGTACAAAATCATTTGTGTCTTTGTATAGTTTTACAGCCAACTGTGTGCTAGTTTAAAGTTCTGAGCTTGTACACCGAGACTAATAACCATGCATTAACTTTGACTGAGGCACCGGATGCGCCACTCAGAGCCACGACACGGCACACAAGACACGCACATTCGCATGTTATTTAAAATTAAAACTATTTAGATGGAGCTCTGTGGTGCGGCAGAAATATTAAGTGCCCTGGGTCGTGGCTGGGCACCGCGGACAGCCGCCGAATTGAAACGCCTATTGTGTGTACCCTGCATAACGAAATTCCCTGCAGGTTTTACACCAGAAGCACCACAGCGCCATGCACTTTAGAACTCTAAACATAGGTTTCTATCAGGGTACACACAATGGCACTTCAAGTCGGGGGCTGTCCGCGTATAAATTTCATTGGCTGACGCTGCTATGACGATCATGTTAGCCCCAACTTCAGACACGCCTTCAGTCAAGCGTTGACG